AAGAAAAATTCTACTAAGAAAACTATCTATAGTTAAAATAGTTCAAGTATACTATATAACTTTATGAAATAATTTTTATAGTACAGTATCACATGTGATATAGTATGTGATATAATAATGATTTGTAAAAGAAAATTAAATTTGTTACACTTTTAAAGATATAAATAAAGTTAATTAATTATATTTAATATAAATATATTTTAATTATAAATTATTATAAATATATTTATATTTTATATTTATTTTATTTTTTATAAATAAATTCTTTTTATTTTATATTTTTATCTTAAATCTAAAATATTACTTAAATAATAAAAATCTTAAGTTTTATAAATTAAAATTATTATTTTATATTTTATTTTATTTATAATTATTAATAAATAATCTTATATTTTTTAATTTTTATATTAGTTTTATTTAAAAAGATCAAGATTTAAAATTTTTTATACTTTATATTTTAATTTATATTTTATAATTATATTTCTTTTTTATTTATGTTTTAATATAATACTTATAAATATTAATTTAAAAAAATCTTTAAAATAATCTTGATTTTACTTAAATTATAAATAATTTAGTTTATATTTTAACTTATTATTATAAATTATAATTTAAATAAAAATTTATTTTTATAAATATAACTTATAATATTTAATATTTTCTTTAAAAATATTAAAATTCTAGAATTTTATTATTTATTATTTCTTTATAAATTCAAAAAAATTCTAAAAAAATATTTTTCTATACTTATTTTAATATTACTTTTATTTTTTATATAAATTTAAATTTATTTTTACTTATTATTACTTATTTTTATTATAAAATTTTAAAAATTATATTAAGTATTACTTTCTTTATTAATATAAATATTTTAATATATATAAAAATTTAATTAATATTAATTAATAATAATAATATTAGATATATATTATTTCTTTATTATTAATATTAATATATAAAGATATAATTAATATTAAATAATAATAAAATATATAAAATAATATTTTAAAAATTAAAGAATATAATAATTATAATAAATTTTTAAAAAATTTATAATATCAAGAATATAAATTTTGATTTGAAAAATAAAGAATAATTTTTTTTAAATAATTTATTTTTGAAAAATAAAATAATAATTTATTAATAATTTATTTAAAAAAAATCTAAATAAGTTACTAAATATTCAAGAATTAATTTTAATTATAATATAATTAAATATATTAATATTAATAATTAAGTTAATAAATATAGTTTTAATTTTATTTCTATATAAAAGTTATTTTAATTTTTTGTTATACTAATAATTTTTAAAATTATTTTACTTTTTTTTATAAATCTAACATTTAAATAATTAAGACTTTAAGAATTTTTAGAAAATTATTAAGATTTAATTTATTATAATAAGTTTTTTATATTATTAATTATTAAATTTTTAATCTTTTATTAATTATTTATTTTTTAATTAAATTCTTAATATACTTAATAATTTATTTTTAAATTATTATTATATAAATATATCTTTCTTTAAGTAATTTTTTTAATAATATAAATTAATCTTTTTTTTTACTAATAATAAATTAAAATATCAAGAATATTATATTTATTTATTTGAATTTTAAAGATAAATTTAATAAAGTTTAGAATAGATTGAAGTTTTTTTTTAAATAAATAGCTAAATTTAAAAGATATTATACTAGTAATTATAATTATTATCAATATTAAATATATTATATATGAAGAATAATTTTAAAGAGAATTTTGTAATTGATAAAGAAGATTATATTTAATTTTTTAATAATAGATTTTTTTTAATTTTACAAGATAAGTTTTATAAAGTCACAAGATATATAATTAAACAAGATTTCTTTACAGTTAGTTTATTCTGCAAAGTAAATCAAAGCAATAATGATTTTCTTCTGGTAAGATGACAAAATCCTAAGTTTAATAATACAAACAAAATAATACTATTTCAATTACTTTAAACTTTATTATAACTTAGTTGATTAAAGGCTCAATTATCTATATACATGAATTATTGATATATATTTTGGTATGTTTTGGTCTATGTTTTGGGGGTAAAAAGACTAGACTAAATTAATTCCGCCAAACGGACAAGATTACTGTACTAAATAACTAAACAAACATTTGCAGTTGATCGGATAATCTACTTATGGGATGAGTTAAAGTAAATTCTACTCGTTATGAAAATATAAGGAACGTTCAAATAATTTCAAATGTACTAATTGTTCTAATTTGGACGTTGATTGTTTTGGACTATTTTGTTATTATTATTAATATATATTCTATTATTCTTTCGTTATTTAGATTGTCGGTCAGGAAAACTATGGGTTTCCGGTCGCAATTAATGTTTAATCGTAACAAAAACATGGGCGCAGATTTAAATCTATTGCCTTAATGTTTAATGATAACAATGTGATCTAAAAACATGGCGCAGATTTAATAGATGCTATTTTTGTTTACTTGTCATTAACGTTAAGTTTTATGTAACTTGTGTAACAGGTCATTTGATCACTCCAAGATTGGTAATTTCATTACCGTGCTGTAGATACATGTGCATGTACAGTACATGTACAGTACATGTTTACTTAGTTTAATACATGTGAATTTAAAAACAAAATGTAAACTAAAATTGAAATTTGCATTACAGTGCTTTTAACTTTAAATAAAAACTTTAAACTTTAAACTTTAAACTATCGTTTGCATAGCAGTAATGTTTAAAATGGTTTTTGGCAAGATGCTGCGGCCTAATATTTAGTGTGACATTTAGTGTGGGAATAGACCTTGCATTAAACCGTTCTTTCTAAAAAATAGAACTTTAACGCATTTCTAGCCTGTACTTAATGGACGACAATCCTCTTATTGAACTGTTCGAAGATCTTGCGGACTCTGAAAACGATGAAAAGAAACTGCACGCTTTAATAAAAAGATGCCACACTGCATCGAGTCGTGAGCTTAAAGATTTCGTCGATGAACTGTCGGAACTGCTGTGCAATTCTTTCGATTCGTATATACCCACCTTGAAAACTTTCCTTTCCCAATTATTGGAAGAGTATTCAAAGCGTCATATTTTGTTGTCTAAATATAATAATACTGCGCTTCAAAATTTTCCTTCTCTTTTAACCGACTGCATAATCGTACAGAACCTTCCCCAATGTGATCTTTCGGGTTTTGGAGAAATATTTGACTGCTGTTTCGAGCTTCTATGGCGAGCTCAAAACAATAAGATTGCCATTCGAATGACTAAAGATTTCTTAATCAAAATCCTAGATTGGGACGGTGTTCTGGGAATTTTAGTATCAGGATCACATGGTCGCAATTGTCTTAAGCGCATCTTGTCTGAATTAAATATAGATAATAGGATAGAAAAAGAAAAGTTGCTGAAGGCGGTGGAGATGATTGCGGCTATTGTGGAACAATGTTCCAGGCATAAGGATGTATCACCTCGTCTATCGGAGGCTTTTTCTGTATACAAAGCTTGTAATTCATTATTAGATAAATTCAAAAGTTACCAGATTGCTGAGCATTCATTGCTACCAATTCTGTGCGACGACGATGAACGACACCTCTCGCTGTTGGGAATGTCAGCGCCCCAAAGGTCATCGGATATATATCATTATGTGCAAACGTTAAAACAGCGAAAAATAGATTTATTTCAGGTAATTTTGGTTATTTTTTTTTGTTTCTAAACAATATAATTAATGCCTCTTTCTATAGTTTTTAATGAAATTTTCGCCCTGCCCAAGTTGTCAGAAAAAAGCACTCTTTCGTTTTTCTCCTGACAAATACTCTTCACTCATGGAGGAAGAAGAGCTAACAAATAATAGAGTATTTAAACCACCGGAACGTATTTTTCACCTTCCATTTGAGTTTGATGAGAATGATAAACTTGGAGCATGGGATATCCTAATAAGTGAAGACGCGATAAAGGATATGTTGGATTTAGAATCACCTACGAAGATCAAAGCTGTAATGAAAAAGCTCGGGAAAATATCATCCGGGATCTGGGATAAGCACGGGCTGAAGCTTCTAGATCCATCTCTTTCAATTCCTGTTTATGCAACAGAACTCGATGATCATGGTGGCCTAAAAATACTCTGGCAGGTTGACTACGGATTTTCTGTTCGTAATTATATGCTTATGCAACTTGTGAAAGTTTGGGCTGTTACTACCAACAAAGATCAAATCGCTAAGCTGTTAGAATACCTCAAGATGCTCCATCAAGTTTACACAGTTGAACAAAGTTCCCGTTGTGCTATTCAGCGGATTAGAAACGACATGATTTTACCAAAAATCTTTGACGAAGAGAAGATAAAATCCACCGAAGACGAGCTTCACATCTCTCAAATGGATGATGAGAAGCTGCTAGAGATTCACAAAATGCTTGTTACTAATAAATTCATTCCCTTATCAAAAGTAAGATATGGACATTAAATAATATGACAATTAAGAGTTTCTTGAACATGTTTTAACTTATGTGAGATATATATTGTTTGCAGAATCTGTTTAAGTCGCTGGTAATGGGTGGTACCGATTTTACTTTTCAGGTATCAAAAGTGGAATACGAAATAATCAACAATCCCACCTCGGCTATCATAATTGGTCGATCAGGTAAATAAACTGATTTTAACCATTATAACTAAAGTAAACATTTTTTTTTGGTTCTATCCTTTCACAGGCACAGGCAAGACCACATGCATTGTGTACAGACTACTTGCCTCCTATCTCAACAATTCAAGTTATTCATTCTATAAAACGCCTTTCTCTCACAAAAGACAAATATTCATCACAGTGAGCCCCGTTCTATGCCGTAGGGTAAAAGAATACTTCTATAGGCTGCGACAATCGGCAGCGCTTGCTGAAACAAAAATGTCGATAGCTCAGTTCTATGAATACGCTAGAAAAAAAGAGGAGGAAAGTTGCAATCCCGATCTAACTGATAACAATATGTTTGAAGAGAGAGACGACGATAAGGTTTTAAGCGATATCCCAGACTCGTTTTCTCAACTGACAGAGGAACATTTTCCATTATTTATTACCTACAAAAAGTTCATCGAAATGCTTGAGGGGACATATGGAATTGATGTTCGAAAGATCCATCTAAATCAAAAATCAAAAATAGATGAAGATGATGAGGATATTTATACTAATGAAGAGAGTTTTCAACCACAACCTTCCTTTGCTAACAAATCTAACAAATCGTGGGCTCACTTTGTGGACTATGATGTTTTTAAGAAAAAGTATTGCAATCATTTCAATGAGAATAAACTGGATCCTGAACTAGTTTATTCCGAGTTTTCCGTTATTAAGGTATGCAGCTGTATATAATAACACACTCATTTTTATATTTTTTACACATTTTCTTGATTTCTTCAGGGGTCGAATCCCAAAGGAGAGTATTTATCAAGAGAGGATTATCAGACTATAAGTACCAAGAAATATCCTGCATTTTGCCATAACCGGGACAAAATTTACGACTTATTTCGGCGATATGAAAAGATGAAGGCGCTTAATGGTGATTATGATTCGATAGATCGGTAAGAATTGTGGATAATATAATTATTAGGGTGATGAGGTTCATAAATAATTAAATATTTATTGGTAGAACGCTAGCCATTTTACATTGTGCCACCAAAAAGGCACTTAGAAGTCCACACATTCATGAAATATACATCGATGAATGCCAAGACAACCAGATTGTGGATTTTGGTCTTATCTTGAAGATCTTCAATCGCGTTGACAATATTTTTTTAGCTGGAGATATAGCGCAATGTATAGCCAAGGGCTCTTCTTTCCGATTTCAAGGTACATATTCTTGTATGAAATTCAAAAGTGATGCTCTGCTAATAAATTTACTATAGATATACGCGCCTTGATGTATGAATGGGAACTCGATCGAGTTCGAGTTAATAATACCCTCCGTGGTCCTATAAAACCAAATCAATTCGAGCTAAACATTAACTACCGTTCCCATAATGGGATCCTTCGACTTGCTGCTTCAATAATTAAGCTTATCCGTCGCTTCTTTCCTGAATCAATTGATCATTTATCAAGTGAACGTGGCGAGGTTGGTGGTCCGCGGCCTATAGTCTTTAAAGGTTTTAAAGCTGAAACCTTCCATTTCAATGTCTTTTCTGCCGGTGAGAATACTGGAAATTATATTGAATTTGGAGCTGAACAGGTTATTATTGTACGTGATGAAGATTCTAAATTGCGTGTTCAAAACTTAATTGGAAAGGCTGGGTTGGTGATGACCGTATTTGAGGCGAAAGGAATGGAATTTTGTGACGTATTGTTGTATAATTTTTTTACAGATCCCCCTGGTCAAAAGGTAAATTCACGCAATGTTGTTTTATCATTTACATAGTCCTTATATTGAAAGTTATTTTGATTATATAGTGGCGAGTAATTCTTTCTGAATTGAAAAACCAGCCCGATGGAGTTCAGACCTTTTCTCATGAAAAGCATTACGTCCTTTCTTCTGAACTTAAGCATCTCTATGTCGCAGTTACCAGGGCACGGCAACATATTTGGATTTTTGACGAGAATAGTGAATACATCGAACCAATCTGCAAATACTGGGAGCAAGAAGGGCTGGTCAAAGTGATCAGAAGTGAAGATAAAATCAGCACCTTCCCTACGTTGGCTAAAAAGAGCAATTCAGCGGAATGGAACCGAAAGGGAAGGAAGTTTTTTGAATCGCGGCAGTATGAACAGGTAGAAGTTATTTCAATGTTTGTTTTCATTCTGGTAGGAGAAAACTAAAGAATAAAATTACCTTCAGGCTATTTTCTGTTTCGAGAAGAGTGAAAATCATGAAAGTCTCAAGTTAGCCAATGCCTATCGTCTTCAACAGATAGCAAGGGCCTCCATAAATGATTCCGATCAGACTACCATAAATTCGAATTTTATTCGTGCAGCTGATGCATTTCGAATGTGTTCTCGGCCGATACAGGCGGCTTTATGCTATGAGGTATCCTCTTAAATTGAATATGCATGAAATGAATCTTTTAAACTGACTCGTACAAATTATATAGGATATCAACATGTATGAAAAAGCTGCTAGCGTTTACGTTGAATGTGATATGTTTGATGATGCCGCACGTTGTTATCTTGAGGTTCCCGACTTTGGAAATGCGGGGAAGTATTTTGAAAAGGCGAATAAGTATACCGATGCTGTTGTTGCTTATAAAAATGATCGTGATTATAGAAAAGTCATTGATTTGATGCAAAGGTAAACCTTCTTGCCTGAAATTCAATTATTCAACGTTGCATATATTTTATGTAATAAAGTTCAGAAATGACTTCACCTTGCCTATATATGCTTTTTTTAGTCACAGAGAAAAGATTGACGAGAAAATATTTAACCGCATTACACGTCTTGTTAATATCCATTACCGCCGGAAGGAAGATAAAGAAATGAGCGAGAAAGCTCTATCCGTTCTTCCAACTCAGGAGGAACAAATAAATCTTCTTCGAGACCATGCTCCTGAAGAGCTTCAGGAGGTCTGCAAGAAAAGTGGACAATTTCGTGCCGCTGCTGAAGACTTACGTTTTCGTGGAAAGTTCAATGAAGCGATTGATACATTCCTTCGATCTGACAATGATGAGGATATCATAGAGGCTTTACGATGTTGCCTCTATTTATGTAGAGTCAAAGTATTGAACATAACAATGATAAATTTCGGAAGATTAAATGATTCTCCTGAATATCTAAATGATTTAATTGATTTAAATGACAAACTTTCTAAGGCCACTAATATCATTACGAAAGTCAAATCACGGTCACTAAAGAGATCTGAAGAATTGAGAAACCTAGAAGAGCAGCTCCAATT